GAGGAACATCAGGTCAGGTGAAGATTGAGAAAAAGAGTATTCCGGGTAGATGGAGCTGCAAGTGCAGCAGCCCTGAGGCAGGAAGGAGGGAGTTGGTGCAGTCGCAGCCCAGCCCGTGCTTGGTGATGGATCCAGAGTCATTCCTGGCATCCAGCCTGGCTCCCACCTCAGGCTGGAGGCAGAGCACAAGTCCGGCTTCCTGAGCTTCTCCTGCCCAGACTCGCATCTCTACCCAGTCAGAGGCAGAGTCGTGAGTTTACAGAACAGTGAGCTCAGCCCAGGGCAGGGAAGAAAGGTCACCATGGCTCTGAAAACAAATACAACAATAGGGGCGAATGTTTTTGTAGGTGCTGTTTATTCTATGTAGCAATTTCTTTGGCTGCATCTACCTGGAAATGTGAAAAGGCTGGCTTGAAAGAATGGTGAAACTACTCCCTTTGTGTCGATTGATACCCTTCCTCCACGGTCACATGCCCCAGCTCGTCCATTGCCGTGGGGTCATCCCAGCAGCTCCTGCTCCATCCAGAGCCAGGGCAACACTGTGGTCACGTGTCCGAGGAGGCAGGGCCTGGAGCTCCCAGCTGTTGCTGCGGCCCTCTCTACCCACCCACAGCTCAGACATGGAGTAGGCAGAGCGTTGCTCAGCAGATCGAATCTCCAGGTCTCATTCCATTCCAGGGCCTGGGAGCTCCTCGCCTAGGGCCCAGGAAGTTGTACCTAGCCAGGCTGTAGAGCTCTTCATCCTACCTCCTTCCTCCTCTGTTGTCTCCGTTTCTTTTCTCTCATTGCTGGGACAAAATACCCGACACCCAGCATGAAGGAAGGAAAGGTTTATCTTGCTCACAGTTAGTGGAGATTTCAGGCCATACAGCAGAGAGGCACATGGCAGAGAGAAGCCTTTCATGCCAGCGGAAAACATGTGACAGCTAGCAAGCCTCTGTCCCCTCTTTATATTGTATCCAGATTATCTGCCCCAGGGAAGGTGTAGCACCCACACCCATAATCCTGGCATTGGATCATGAATTGATCACGAACTCTGGCATGTACCCCATGACTGCATGAGGCTTTGGGGGGACAACTAGACACAAATCATAACATCCATCAAGGAGCAATGTCAGGGCTTCCTTTGTAGGCCTCTTCCTGGCAGCCTCTTCCCCAGAATCTCATGCTGGTTTTGCATCCCTGTGACACAATGCCCTAGTTAAACCCCTAGAAGGAGAGTGGACTCCTGCTGGCTCTCAGTTGCAAAGGTTTCAGTTCATGACTGAGCAGCCCGCTGTTTGTAGCCTCTGCCACGCTGTACCTCAGAGCAGAAGCATACTATGCGGAAATCTGGTCACTTCCTGGGAGCTGCAGGAACAAAAAGACAGAGGAAGGAAGAGCAGGCTCCAAGCATCCCCTTCAAGGCCGTACCCCGGTGACCTGACTGGCCAGCGCTTGGCCCCCAACCCTAAAGGACCCTGTGCATACAGACCAGTGGCCAAGCCTCTTAGTGCTGAGCCCTTGGGAGGCACGTAGGATTCAAACCATACCAACAAATATACCAGATTTTGTTTGTTCGCTTTTGCTGTTGCTTTCAAGATGAGTCTACTTCTGTTGTTTAGGCTAGTTTTGAGTTCCTGGGCTCAAGGGATCTCTCTGCTTCAGCCTAAGTATCTGAAATTACAGGTATGGATCACCAGGCCTGGCACCAGATTTATTCTCTAGGTAGTACTGGGGATGGAACCCAGTGCTTTTACACTGAGATACACCCCTCTGTACTGTTTTTTGCTTTGTAATTTTAAGGCAATGTCTTGCTAAGTTACCAAGCTCAGGCTGGGATCAAACTTGTGATCCTCCTACTTGAGCCTCCTGGGACTACAGGCACATGCCACATTGCCTGGCCCCCAATTCATTTTAAATGTCATTTTCCTTTGAGGCAGTAGTGCAATTAGGATAGCTCATGAGATGTCCACATACAGCCACATCAGTATCAGTCCCCTCTTCTTGCCTCTCTGCCCTAAGATACCAACCTACTCAAGATTCAGGGAGTCTCACCTCCCCTCCGTTCCATTTCTCTGGAGGTCCTTGGAGGGTACTCACACTTGCAGATTGCTTGGCCTTCTCATACTTTTGCTTTTGGTAGTCTGCTTGCGAGTCTAAGAAAGAGAACAGCTCCTGCCCCCAGGTGGCAATACTGTAGGGATGCATGGCAGGTGGTTGGCCTCCAGGGCCTGGGAGGTTGGCGTGGCGCCTCCAGGTTGTTGGTTCTGCAGAGACAGCATCTTAGGTCTGAGCCACTGCGGCCTCTGCACTGCTGGGCACACAACATCCCTTCTCCTCAGGCTTTCTCCTACAGGTGTCACCTTCGGCCTTTGTCACCATCTTCCCTGCCTCCCTCATCTCCCTGTCCCAAGTTCTGCAGGCACCAGATGTTTCCATGGGATTCTTTCCCTGCACCTCTGGAAATCCAGATAGACCTGTGGGAAGGAGTTGGGAAAGAGGCCATCTGACACATCTGAGTCTTGGCTCTGAGCCAGGCTGCTGTAGTATTCGTGGAGTCCTACAGTCTGGGGGGGTGTCATTGGTCAGCCACACCCTTCTGCAGAAGAGAAACCAGGGGCCCAGAGAGATGAACTGGTTGTACCACAGACTAGGAGCTCAGAATCTGTGGCAGGGCTGGGCTAGCCATGTCCCCTGATTGGGGTCTGGGTTCCTGTGCACTGCTCCTTCTAAACTTAGGAAAGGTCTTTTGGCGTAGGGCCCCTCCTTTGACCTGCTCCCATCTTGAATGACCCCCGCTCTGGGGGCTAATATGGGGGTACTATTCTTGGTTCCCATCCAAGGTGAGGGCAGCTTTGTCGCTCTGCCTGGAGCACATATAGGGAGACGGACACACAAGTATTGAATCAGATTAGGGCCTAATTTTCTACTTTCTTATTCTACGCTGCACTAATAGGACCACTGTGAAAATAAAAGTATGTGTTTTCTGCCCAGAATAATTATATTAAAACCATATTAGATGGCTGTTTTCACTGCAGCACGTAGGGCTTATCTTCAGCCAAAGAGCAGCGGGGTTATGGTCACCCACTAGGAGCCCACACAGAGTTCAGAAAGTGCTCTTTGTGCCTTGTTTAAGGAAACAGCATGTGGGTGGATGCACAGAATCTCGAGCCTTCTCTCCCGCCCTGGCAGCACCTTCCAGTTCTCTGGGACAGACCAAGCTGTTTAGTCTTGGGGACAGACTGCTCTGGGTCAGGGCCACCCTCAGGTCACCACAGGAGTACACTAAGGGTGTCTGGAAGTGGCGGACATGCTTGCGCTCTCTGCTCCCCACTTCCTAGAGCAGAATGGAAGGCAGCCGGTGAAGCTTTTGGCCCAGGAGACCAGACGTGAAATAAAACCTATCTTCCAGCAGGTATTCTTCTGGCTTTTCCTTCCAGTGGGATTGTGACTGTAGGACTGGGTTTACACATTGAATTTTAATTTTGTACACACCCTGAAAGGCCCCGGGGCAATGGGGGTGTTTGAAGTGAACACTAGTCCGAGTCCTTTACCTGCCAATGGTTCGATTAAGCTGCTTAGGTCTGTTTCTACCATCCTGTCTTTCAAATATTTATGTGGCAGATTATGGGCGAGCTTCAAAGGCAAGGAAATGCAAATCTGCTCTATAAATCATAGAATAACACAGCTGCTGTCTTCCTTGGAGTGACAGCTTACGAATGCCAGCATTTCTGTCTGCAGAAGGGGTAGTGGGAAATGGGCTTCTTGTGTGCAGCTAGGCCTGGTGTGTGTGTGGGACCTTCTGCATGCTTACCAGATCCCTTTCTAGCAAGTGGGTAGGCGTGGTGTGTGTGTGTGTGTGTGTGTGTGTGTGTGTGTGTGAGAGGTGGGGGAAGGGGTGGGAAGTTCTAACCATATTTACATTTTTGCAGCACAGCATATTTTACTTTTTTTTTTTTTTTTTATTGACCCCACAGTTAAGGAGTTAATTTATTTTGCTAATTGTAAAGAACTGTGGAGAAATTAAATCTCACCTGAGATCTGAGGCATTCTGGAACTAGAGTTGGATGTGACTCATTTTGCAAAAAAATGTACCTAGAATGTGAAGAGGAGAAAAGTCAACAAGCAAAGTCTTGGACAACTTTGAAATGAATTTCATTTAGCTTCAATGAATAAAAAAGAAATTGTGCATTGCAAATGGTTATGCAAATTAAGTTTTGCCCCCGGGGTCTTCACAATCTGCCAGCAGAGGTCTTCGAGGGCCAAAGATGAGGCTTTGGCGGGCTCCTTTTGGCTACTGCCAGGAACATGTGGGTTCAGTGCATCGGTGCTCAGCCACACGTGAGCATCCACCAAGACCAGCACTGGGGTTTATGGTCCTTACCGCCAGCTGCTTTGGGGCCTGGCATGGTCTTATGGAAATACCTGGGGCACTCTACAGTCAACAGGACAAAGAGTCTCAGGGGCAAACAGTACAAAGAGGAGCTGTGCTGGCAGGGCTTGCCAGGTATTAGTCACGATTCCATAGTAAGTGACTCAAACTTAGTCAATACGGGGAATTTTCTGGGTTGTAAAAAGGAGGGTTGAATAGCCAGATCACAGAAAAGAAAGGGACATGATTGGGCCTGGAGACAGCTGAGACAAGGTCTGGAATACTGCCTGTGCTCTCTTCCATCACCTGTCTTTAAATGTTTCTCTCTGTTGGTTTCTAACATAGCTGCCAACAGCTACGCAGTAGATTTTTGCACCTGACAACTTTTGTACTATGGGGACTTATTTTGAATAATCCCAGGGAAAAACTATATTTTGTTCAGCTTGGATTGGGTGCCTATGCCTAGATCCATAGACAGTGGAGAAGGGAGAAAGGGTCATGTAAAAACACAATAGTTCTCAAGGTAGTCTTTTTTTTTTTTATTATTTTTTTTATTTTAGAACAGGGTCTACAGGGTCTTACTATGTAGATTGGACTGGTAGTGATTCTCCCATGTTCAGCCTCTCAAGGTAGACTTATTAGGCAAATGGTGGACTTCGATACCTATGATGACTGGGCCTATAGCAGCTTTGGTGGTGGCAGAGGGTCCCGTGGCAGTGCTGGTGGCCATGGTTCCCGTAGCTAGAAGGAGCTGCCCACAGAACCCCCCTACACAACCTATGTAGGAAACCTCCCTTTCAACACAGTTCAGGGTGACATAGGCGCTATCTTTAAGGATCTCAGCATAAGGAGCGTACAGCTAGTCAGAGACAAAGACACAGACAAGTTTAAAGGATTCTGTTATGTAGAATTCAGTGAGGTTGACTCCCTCAAGGAAGCCCTGATATACGATGGTGCACTATTGGGTGACCGGTCACTTTGTGTGGACATTACAGAAGGCAGAAAACAAGATAAAGGTGGCTTTGGATTCAGGAATGGCAGACCAGATGACAGAGATTACAGGGATGACTTCCTAGGAGGCCGAGGAGGCAGTCGCCCAGGGGACCGACGAGCAGGACCTCCCATGGGGAGTCGCTTCTGAGATGGCCCACCACTGCACAGCTCCAACATGGACTTCTGAGAACCCACAGAAAAGGAACGAGCACAGAGACCACGGCTCCAGCTCAAACCTCGGACAGTGGCAACAGCCCTCAACCAAGTAGCCAACCCCCAACATCTTTGGGGGAGCCAGGCCCGGAGAGGAAGTCGTGAACAAGGAGCAGGAATGAGCATGCAGCGGGAATGGGGTGTGGGGAGTTAGAGCGAGACCGCAGCCAACAGCCTGGACCGGCCACCCCGCAGACACCGTTCCTGTACCTGGCACTGTCCTCCTTCCTTACAGTGGAAACACCGAGCTTGTGAATGCATGTCAGCTGTTAACGAGTGGTTTTTAGTACATCCTTGGCTTTGCTGTACCTAGCTAGTGCCTGTTTTGTGCTCTTTAGTTTTTTCCTTCTCTGTTTTCAATACCTAAACAACTATTTCTTCACAATGTTCCCAGCAGATGACAGGCAATCCGATCTAAAAAACCAAGATTCCAAAACCTCCAGAATTACTTTTTCGATGCTTTCTTGTCTTTCTTACCTCTAGCCAATCCATCATCAGTGCGTAACTACTTTTCCTCTGTCCCATGGGTCTGCTTTCCTTAACTTTGCCCTCTCCACCTTCAGCAGCTTCTAATAGCTGCATTTGCCAGTGAGCATCCTTGTTTATTAAATAGATCAAATAATAATTATAATGTCTGATTTACAGTTACACATACTGCATGTTCAACGTGTAACTTTCTTTCTTGTAGGACCATTTTCACTCATTAAGCAGTTATAAGGTGCCATCATTTACAAACAATTTATATTTTAAAATAAGTTAGAAGACATTCAAGGTTATTTCTTTTTTGTTTTGTTTTGTTTGGTACTGGGGATCAAACTCAGGACCTTGTACTTGCCAGGCAGGCGCTTATGCTTCTGAGCCATCTCCCCAGCCCTCAAGATTATTTCTAAAATTACTTTCTCAGGGCTGGCCAAATAGCTCAGTGGATTAAAGCACCTGCTTAGGCAGACACAGGGGCCAGGAGTTCGATCCCTGGGCCTGTCATGCCAGCCCTGCCCCTGGGGCGCACTGAGAAGTGATTGAGACTGGGCGTGGTGGCATACACCTGTAATCAGAGCCCTGGGGAGGCTGTAGACAGGAGGATCACTACGAGTCTGATCTATGCAGTGAGCCCTTGTAGACGCTATAGACCCTGTAGATCCTGTCCTAAATATGAAAATAAATAAATAAAAAAAATTACTTTCTCTTATTTGCATTCTAATATGGTACTACAAGATAGCAGAGAAAGCAGTGGAATTATACTTAATGGACCAAGAATTATAGTAGGAGTTTTTTTTTTTTTTTTTTTTTTAACATATGAACATTAGCTGTTATGGGGTCATCAAACTCCATAAAAGGTCAGATACTAAACATTGTAGATGTTGTGGGCTGTATAGTCCCTGTCACAACTATTCAGTTCTATCATTAACGTAATAGCTACAGAGAATGCATATGGGTTAGCATACCTTTGAAGTAAGTCTTTAAGATCAAGTAAAGTTCTCTTGTCTTGAACATATTCACAATTTTTCTGGCAAGCGTACTTTGCTTGCATTTTCTATAAATGTTTGGTTCAGCATAACAATTGTTTCTTAAAAACTCTGCTGAGATTTTTATTCAGCTCACATCAAATTGAGAGCTCAATTTGGAAAGAATTGACAGTTATCAACATGGGGGCTAATTCAATACACAAACATGGTGTGTTTCTCCATTTTTGGAGCTTTTAAATTTTCTTTCAGCGGTTTTTTGGGTAGGTTTTAATGTACAGATCTTGCACATGCTTTGTTAAATTCATTCATATATGCTCCCTTATTCTGATAGTTATAAACGGCATTTAAAAATTTTGTTTTCTACTTGTTTGCTGTTAGTATATAGAAATGTAATCAATTTCACATATTGATATTGTATTCTGCAATTTTACTAATTACATTTATTAATGTAACATTATTTTTTGCGGAAAGTTGTTAGTATTTTGTAGTTACACAATGTTGTACTATGTGATTACAAAAGTATATTTTTTCTTGCTCCAGTTTGTAAGCTGTTGATTTTTTTTTTTTTTTGGCACTAATTTTTCATGTCTTATTTGTTTAATTGTTCGTTTTTTAGTCCACTGGCGAAAACACCAATACAAAACAGAATTTTAAAAACTGGTAAAAATTCTTACTTTAATTCCAGGGTATGCTGAGTTCGGAGCAAGCCTGGGTTACGGAGAGAGTTCAAGGCCAGCACAAAGCAGATAGTGAGAGCCTGGCTCAGAAACAAGACAGAACAACAGAACTCCACAAATACCCGAGCCTGATATTAAGAAAAATAAAAATATGAATGAGCCCATATACATTAAAGAGATTCGGGTCCTGGTTTAAAATCTTCTGAAAAACAAACTGAACACATAGGTAGGAAAATAATGCCTTCTTCCAAACATTAAGCGATGAAGTAACACCAATTTTAAAGAAAATCTTTCAGGAAATAGAAGAAGAAATGACTCCAACTCATTTTACGAAATCATCTTTACTCTGATATCAAAACTAGACCAAAGACATTAAAAGAAAATTATAGAGCAACATTCTTCATTAACATAGTTAAGAAGTCCTTAACACAATATTAGCAAATAGATTCCAGAGATATAATTAAAATGTGATAATACATTATTACCGAGTTCCAAGAATGGTTAATTTGACATTTGAAAAATCAATCAACGTAATTCAATACTTTAATAGAATAAAGGAGAAAAACTATGATTATTTAAATCAGCACAAGAAAAATCATTTGGTAAAATTCAATGCCCCATTATGAATTTTTTAAAAAGCTCAGCAAACTAGTGAAAAAATACTACTGTAGCAGAGAACGCCCCCCAGCCAGTCTGCTGGTTGCCAGGCGGTAGTTCCTGTTACAGTTGCTGTGACTGCTGCCTCCCGAAAGCAGCAGGCTACCCTGATGCATGTTGTAAGAACCACTCGACGACAGCCAAGTACTCTGCCCCTGGACTGTAACCCTCCCCTCGCTGAGCCTTCAGGGCCTGGCATTTTGAGGGACAACTGATTCTCTGTCAGTTCCAAGTTAAATAAACCTGCCTCTGAATCCTGGGTGTTGTTTGCCCCTTGTACTGTAGCCTAAGAAAGGAACTTGTGAGAAGTCTGCCAAGTTCTCCTATATTTCTTTCCTTCCTTCCTTCCTTCCTCCTTCCTTTCTTGTTTTCTTTCTTCTTTTCCTTCAGTTTTACAGGAATTATAGGTGTCTTGGTTACTTTTCACTCCTTGCTTAAACAAAATAACCCACACCCAAAATTAAAGGGGGAGAGGTTGGCTTAGTTCACAGTTTGTGGAGGTTTCAGTCTATACTGGCTGGCTCCCAGGCAGAGTGGCAAAGGGCAGCAGTTCATGGCAGCAGAAAACAGTGAAGAGCAAAGGGAGGGGCAGCAGCTGCAGCTTCTAGCCAGCCTCCTCCGCTCCTGTTATGTGATAAACAAACTACCCTGGGGTCGGGGTGTAGAACTCACTATGCCCTCCTTTTGCACAGGATAAGGATGTTTATAAACTAAGAATCCTTTTTTTTTCTTTCAAACTAAGAATCCTGACTTTCTGCTGAGTCATTTAATTAAACTTCTCAACCTCTCAAGTTGACACAATGTATCAACCAGTACAATTCACCCCTTGTCAATGTGGTGAATTGTCAACGAATTATAATACATATATAATTCTTTAAACCAGTCTCCAGATACAAGGACATGCTTATTAGGGCAGGCCAAATAGCTCAGCAGATTAAAGCACCTATAAGCAGACACAGGGGCTGGGATTCGATCCCCAGGTCTGCTGTGCTGGCTCCGCCCCCAGGGCACACTGAGACAACAATTGAGACTTGGTGTGGTGATGCATGCCTATAATCCCAGTTCTTGGGAGGCTGTAAACAGGTGGATCACTACGAGTCCGATCTAGTTGTGAAACCCTGACCACCCTGTAGCCCCTTCCCTAAAATACAAATAAAACAAAACAAAACAAAAACCCACCAAAGACAAGCTTATTAACATTTTGCAACTTGAACATTGTATTACATTAGAACCATATTTTGCCCCTGGGCAACCCCCCTTCCCCAAAGATTCATGCACATCCCTAAGAGTTACCAAAGTCTAACATTTTCAGCATGCTGAAAAGTCCTTAAGGCAAACTCTTAGCTGTGAGCCTCTGAACAAATGAAAATTTAGATACTTTCAACATTCAAAGCCACAAGATAAACATTACCATTCAAAAAGGTATACACAGGAGGATGCTACAAGCCATTGAGACCAAAACAAGTCCAAAATCCAGAAGGGCAAACATTACATCCTGTAGTTCCACTTGGAACATCTGAAGCAATCTGTGATGAGTCGTGAGCTCCAGAAGCCTTACATGGCTCCACCCCTACCGCCCTTCTTCTGGTAGCTCCCAGGGCTTCTCTCTTAGGTGAGTTTTACTCCCCCTGTGCAGTTTGCCATAGATGATCCATGTTCCTAGATTTTCCAAACTTCTGGAGTTTCCACAGTATAGGCTTCTCACTCACAGCTTCACATACTGCCCTCTCGGGGGCACACTGCCTGACTCCCAGGCTTCTGAAATCTAGGTGGAAGCCTTCTTAACCTCAGAATTCCTGCATTCTTCAGGTGTCTAAAACCAGCACCACACGGGTGATGCCAAGGTCTGCTGCCAGCTGGAGCAGCAGCCAGGTTTTCTTCTGTCTTGACTGTATGGGATTGAGTTCCTGGATCTCTGAGCACTCTGACCCTGATTCTGAGGAACAAATTCTCTATGCCAGTGCCATTCTGGAACCTGGTGTGGCCACCACCTCCATTCTGGAACATGATACTCTGAAGTTTTCTCCTCAAAGCTAAGTCCCCCACCTTTGAGATTCTGAGGCTGCAAAAGGCAAGAATCTTGCACCTCCTGTGATGCCCTCAGGGCATCTTTTCTACTCTCCTTTTCCTCTTGGGTAATGGAGATCCTCTCAGGTCTATCTTTGCATTACACAGCCTTACTTGAGCTTTCTTTCTGGCCAAACTCACATTTCAAATCATCCTGCTGGGCTCTTTGCTCTTGATTCTCAACATATATCTGACTGAAAGTTCCCATCAATAGCCATGCCACTGCCTCAACAT